ATACAACAGGTCTTACATGATCCTTTCTACTAACAGATACAACAGGTTTTACATGATCCTTTCTACTAACAGATACAACAGGTCTTACATGATTTTTTTCTAGCAACAGATACAACAGGTTTTACATGATCCTTTCTAGCAACAAATACAGAAGGATCTCCAATCTGAATGTCTTAAAACAAGAGTATCAGAGGATCTCTAACATGATCCTTTCTAACTACATATACAGCAAAATGTTTACAGCAGGATCTCCTACCTAATCCTTTTTAGTCATGTATTAAGCCTGATTTCCTACCTAATCTTTTCTAACCATGGATATGCAGAATGTCTTACCTGAATTTCTAACATGATCCTTTCTAACTATAGATACAGCAATTTTTTACAGCAGGATCTCCTACCTAATCCTTTTTAGTCATGTATTAAGCAGGATTTCCTACCTAATCTTTCCTAGCCATGGATAAGCAGAATGTCTTACCTAATGTGATCTTTAACATACAACACTAACTTTTACGTGATTTTCTCCATTAATAGATATCACAGGATCTCTTTATTAACAAACTTTCTTACCCGATCCTCTATCTCCACAGACGTAGCAAGTTTCCATGTTTCCCTCTGAGGCTCTAGATGGTTGATCTCGAACATGCCAATCGTTCACCTTCACAGCCCAGTCAGTCACTCCAGATGCAACAGGTAGGGCTAACTGAACGCATGAATTGTCAGTTTGGTTGCCGAAACTCCCCTGAAAGTACATCCTTCACATGTATCTACTATATAACAAGTTCAGAATAATATCTATTCATATACAAACAAATACACATCTCCAAGTGGACGAAACACAATAACACTTGTAAGTTCACAATAATACAAACTCCTACAGAAACAAAAAATTCAACAAAATGAGGAAGTACGATACAAATATCTCTTAAAACAGACCACAAAATTTAATCATAATAAATCAAAAAATGGAATGCCAATTGGATTAGTTGCTGTTCCACAAACTTTTACAATTACCTCTGAAACACTTCCCTTCTTCTTGTCAACTATAACTTATTCTGTCGGTGTCACATGACCTCAAGTTCTGAGCATCATTAATACAGTATAACATTTGTTTTACTTGTATCAATAGTTCCCCACTCTCCCGCCTCCAAAGTAACTTATTCACCTCTGCCAGAATGTTCATTGTATCCAGCACATTGCGAGAGAAAAGCCACGATAACATGGTGACAGCCACGTGACAAATACTGTCATAACGAGTCCCCCCCCCCGGGCCATTGATGTGAAACACTAATGAGGAATTGTCTCTCTGTAATAGCACTAATCTGTGGTAAAGGAAGGGTAGCAAGTAGTGACATAGTTGGTGGACAGCCCAGTTCGAGACGGCTGATATGAGACACTGCCTTGAAAGGGATCCATATGCTGGGAAGTTTGTTGATCTCCTAAAACTGAGACTCAGCCCACCAGAGATATTACTGTGGAAAGATGAAGAGCTAATCATGGCAGAAGCAATATGCAATACTTCCAGTCATCAATCTCCAAGAGAACACAGAATAGATTGTAGATCATTTACTACAGACACACCAAATCACATTGAAGAGAGTGCATATGGGCTTGCTCCAAAAGAACAACATTAAATACGGATGCCATATTTCCTAAATCAGAGCAGAGGTGTTTTGGCTATAGGCATGGCTGACATACTATCAACTCTAAAAGACCTAGATGAGAAAGTTGAAAAGCCCTCTGAAAATATTTGATCCTAAATCCTATACGAACCAGACAATGAAGTATTGGATATGAAAGTACATATGATCCTTCCATATGGATGGTCAACCATAAGTTCAGACAATCATTGATGTACGAAACCTATGTAGAGTGAGTCAAAAGACCTGCAAAGACTCTGACCACTTGACAACCCAGATATGGAGCTCGGGCTAGACTAAAGGGCATGGCTCAAAGTTCGTATACCACCTTCTGATGCCCAAACCTGAGAAATCAACGACTGGTAAATAGGCATTTTTACAAATTCGTGTTCTACATAATGAGATTGTGATTGAGTAAGGAGAGGTCTATTAGATATCTATATTCCCATCTTCTTTGGAGAGAAGACGAAAATCCTGTAGATTAAAAGTGCAAAATGTCTACTGCACCCATGAGAAGATCTGACATATTGGATCCTTTGGAATACAGTGAAAACAAAGAAAAATGGAGTACCAAAGAATTCCACAGATGAAATTAAGTACTAAGATGACCAATGGTCTAGAAATCAAAGAGATGGTTAAATAATGGTACTAATTTAGCTTCTACACGAGGCAATTCAATTGGAACAAAAGGGATGAGAAGTAGAAGCTAAAGAGTTGAAGTGGTCAGAGATGAAGAGGAGGTTGGTTGATATGAAATAAAGATACGGCATCTGATAGATGTGTAAGTAACGAAGTGAATGACCACAGAAAATGTAGGAACAAATTACAACATGTCTTTTTTTTAACCTTTATTATTAAAATGGAAAATTTGTTCTGAAGAGAAAATCTCACAGGATTTAGACAACATCTCACAGGATCAATACTTTATCTGCAGAATTATTAAAACACCAGTTTGTATAAAGTACCGTAAACTATTAATACACCAGTATATATAAAGTACCGTAAACTATTAAAACACTAGTATGTATAAAGTACCGTAAACTCTTAAAACACCAGTATGTATAAAGTACCGTAAACTATTAATACACCAGTATGTATAAAGTACCGTAAACTATTACAACACCAGTATGTATAAAGTACCGTAAGCTATTAAAACACCAGTATGTATAAAGTACCGTAAACTA